AGTTGGGGTTCTTGCGCAGGATGACAAATCCCTCCAGGATGGGGGTCACGGGCACGTGCTCCTCGGTGGCCAGCTCTGCCCGCTCCCCGTGGGCCAGCAGCACCGGCGTGGTGTGGGTCTGGAAGCCCGTGATGGTTTTGGGCTTGCCTGCCTGGCCCACCACGTCCACAGCCTGCCAGAGAGGAGCCAGGTGAGAACCAGGGACACGGGGGGACACCCCATCCCCAGCTCCAGCTGCCCCTTACCTGTCCCACCCGGACGGAGACGGGCAGGGGTCGCAGCTCCTCATCGAAGGTGACCAGCATGCGGGGCTGCATGGCAGCCACCAGCCCGTAGAGAACGTAGTGGGACTTGCCCAGGATAACTGGAGGGAGACAGGAGGAAGGGGGCTGAGGGGTGCCCAGCCCGGGGGGGGTCAGGGGGGAGGTCGGGGAGGGGGCAGAGCCCACTCACTGTTGCGCACATCCAGGAAGGAGACGAGGACGGTCAGTAGCCCAGCCACGGCCACCTGGCTCATGAGCTGGCGATCGCTGTGGTAGGGGCACAGGGTGAGCGTCCCCTTGCCCAGGTGGGTCAGGCCCTGGTGGGGCAGAGAAAGCTTGTGAGACAGCAGTGGGACCCCCGGGACACTGCTGCCCTCCCTCACCCAGGGCAGGGACCCCAACCTGCCCCTTCCCCCCCACGGTCGGGGCGCGCGGGGTCCTCACCTGGGCCAACCGCACCATGAAGAGGTTGTTGGGGTCCTTGGCGTGGTACTGGGCGAGCTGCCGCAGCATGGCAGCCAGCCGGGCATTGTTGGTACCTGGGGAAGAGGCAGTGCGGGCACAGAGGGGGGTACAGGGCTCGGGTCTCCCACCTTCCCCCCACCCCACAAGCCGTGCCCCCCGGGCTTACCGCTGCCCACCATGCCCATGGCAAAGATGGAGTTGTAGGAGACCTCAGGGTCAGCATCGTGGGAGAACTTGCTGAGGGTGTCGAGGATGTTGAGCCGGGGGTTGGAGACAGAGATGAGGGCGAGGGCCAGGGGCACGGCCCGCCGCAGGGTGGGCTCCCCGTACCGCAGCTGCATGGCGGGGGGAGAGGGGGGCGTTAGACCCAGCACCGGGCCCACAGAGACACGAGGCAAGAGCTGGGTCCCCTCCCCGCTCCGTGCTGTCCCCCTGTGTCACTCACCAGGTGGCCAAAGGTGCGCAGGGCCATCTCGGCGCCGATCTCCTCGCCCATGGCGATGAGCGCGATCCCCAAAACCGCTACGCCCTGGGGGGGACACGGGCACTGAGCCTAAACCCCAACTTCCCACAGCCCCCCACACCCACCCTGAGCCCAGGGGGACGGGGAGGGCAGGGGATGCTGCAGAGGGCTGATCTCCCACCCTGACCCCCCAAAGCTACTTCTGCACCTGGGCACGGGTCCCACCCCACGTGTCCCCACCTGGTGAGCCCCCATGTCAGCAGAGCTCTCTTTCTTCTCCTTCTCTTTCTTGTCCTTTTTGTCCTTGTCCTCCTCTTTCTCCTTGGAGTCGAAGTGCTCGCTACAGATGTGCAGGAGCTGCTGCACCTTCAGGACATTCCCTGAGCCTGGCGGGTGGGCAGTGGGGAGGGCCACGGTCAGCAGAAGGAGGGCCACGGTCAGCAGAAGGGGTCCTGCCTCCCCAGCCCAACTCACCCGCGTAGGCACAGATGTCCACCAGCGTGTTGGCGAAGCTGCGGAAGGGCTCCGACACCACCTCCAGTGCTGCCAAGATGGCCTCAATGGCCTCTCCCTTCCCTGCCGGGGAAAACATGGGGTGGGGGGTCAGAGCACGGCAGCCGAGGGACGCCCCCCACCTGTCCCCCTGCCCCGGGAGCTGCCAGGACTGCCCCGGCCGTACCCAGGTGGTTCAAGCCCAGGCCGAGGGGCAGCCACCGGGCATAGGTGTCCTTCAGCTCCGTCTCTGACTTCTCCATGATGGTCTGGAGGATGGTGGAGGTGACGTCCCCGTTGCAGGAGCCCACCGAGATCATCCCGCAGGCCAGGGCGGTCACACCAGCCACCTGGAGATGGAGGGAAGGAGACAGGCTGCAGGACACAGCGAGATGGCCCCCAGACAGGGTTGTGCTCCTCTGGCACAGCCCAACGCCACGCAGGGACAGGCATCCCGGCTCCTGGAGCCCCAACAGGCTGCAGGACAGACCCTGCACCCCCAGGAGCTGCTGGGGGAGCGGGTGGGGAACAGGAACCTGCCTCACTCCTTACCTCCATGCTGGACTTGGAGTCTCCCATCACAGGCAGCAGCAAAGTCAGAACATCCTCGCGGTTGGAGCCCGCGTAGGCCAGCCCCAGCCTGCAGAGAGACCAGGGAACGTGAGGGGGGGACAACGGGGGACACACACACCACCCTGCCCAGCACGGGGGGGCTGGGGCCAGGCCCTCACCCAAAAATGGCTCCGATCCTCATGGTGTTGCTGTTGTGGAGGACGTAGTCGGACAGGAGGGCCAGCGCGGGGTCACACTCGTTCCTCACCCCCGAGTTGACGATGCCACAGGCCAGGAGGGCCCCCGACTGCAGGGGGGAGGCACCGTCACACACCAGCCACCGGCACAAAGCTCCCCCCCAGCCAGCGACTAGTGTCACCCCACACGTCACACCCACTCCCCAGGGACGGGCGAGTTGGTACCAAGTGACAAATGCCACTCTGGACCCAGCCGAGCGGCCCAAAGCTGGCTCTGTGACAAGGGGACCCCGAAGGTGGAGCCCCCAGGAGCTGCCCGCCTCGCTGCGAGCCACTCAGGGACACGGGGCATCCCACCCCCCCGCAGGCAGGCGCTGGGCTGGGCAGTGGGCCGAGGGCAACTCCAACCCTCCCGCGAGTAGCCCACCCCCGGCTACAGCCGCAGAGCCCCTGCCGGCACCGGCACCCCCCACCTTGATGTAATCCTCCGAGGAGTACAGGTACTTGTCGATCTGCGTGAGCCCCCCATCCACGTCCCACAGCAGAATCGTGCCCAGCGAGGCCGCAGCACTCAGCATCCCTGCGAGAGAAGGGGCCCCATCAGCCCTGCTGGGGCCAGGGGTGGCCGGGGACCACAGAAGGGTCCCCAGAAGGGACAGGGGCTGCACCCCCAAGCCTAGGGACAACCCCCAGCCTGCCCACGGCTCCCTCACCGTGGTCCTTGTTCTTGTACAACCATTTGTTGCCGTCGTCTGTCAGCAGCTTGTCCTGCCCGAAGGCAGCGTTCACGAAGCCGTTCACGAAGGAGGAGGCCAAATTCATCCGGGCTGAGTCCACCTGGGACCCGCTCCCCCCGAACCCTGGGGAACAACGTCGGGGTGAGCGGGGAGGCAAGAAAAGCCCTGCCAGCCCTCCCAGACCACGGGGTGGGGGGTGGGCAGGACGTGTCCCACCACCCACAGAAAGGAAGAAGCCCAAAAATCCACGGAGCTGGGTGGGCT